CAATAATTGCATTAAAAACGATATTTCTTGCCCGCACTTGATTTAAAAGGAAAAATATTTCACATAATTTTATATATTTGCAACAGCTGACGAGCGACGCACGGGAAATGTTGAGAGTTGGCCATCTATTTGCTTTGTGTTGGCGAGAGCGTTGTCGAATTTCGGCTATGTGGACGGCTGCATTTGAATGCATGTATTCATAGTCAGCTGTTGAAGCAACGCCAAGGCCAACGCATCGCCAAAGTTCCATGAACCAATTAGAACAGATCTGACCGGTAGAGGAGCAGCCATTTGTAATAGCAATTGAGAAAAAAATGTGTGACGTTCGTAATTTTGAAGTTTGCTATTTCTGTTTTGCTTTTTTCTTTATGTGTATTTTGTCGGTGGTTTATTTCAGTGATTTTTAAGCTAGTTTCAATAAATTTTTTGTGCAAATGTAATTAAAATGAAGTGCGCGGTGTTGGGAGCAAAAACACGTAAAAAATATTAAATTAATTAGCACAAACATGTGCTGCAAAATTGGTTGCATTTTTTTCTTTATGCTTCGTCTTCATAATCTTTGTTTACGTTTCAAAGAAAATAACATGGCTCCGGTAATTTTCTGGCTGACGTTTGTAATTTCGGCGCCATGTTATTTTCTGTGAAAAGTAAACAAAGAATATGAAGACGAAGCATAAAGAAAAACTGCAAGCAATGTTGTGCACATGTTTGTGCTAACCAATTTATTATTTTTGTACGTGTTTTTGCATCCAATCACCGCGCACTTCATTTTAATTACATTTACACAAAAAATCACTTAAAATCACTGAAATAAACCAGCGACAAAATACACATAAAGAAAGAAGCAAAACAGAAATAGCAAACTTCAAAATTACGAACGTCACACACTTTTTTCTCAATTGCTATTACAAATCAAGAACGATAGAATACAAGATTGCGCATTCCCGCAGAATGACATTTGTGGCAACGGGTAAACAAAGAATATGGCGAAGAAAAATGAGTTGACAGTTGTGAATTTGCAGTGAGAAAACGTGTTTTCTTCACGTTTCGCCAATTTCTCAAGCCATCTTTGAATATGGCAAATTAAGCCCAACGTTAACAAAATATAGACAACCACCTTTGAAATCTGTTCAAAAGAATAGGTGTTATTAATTAACTAATTAGAATTTTCTTGTTTGTATTGCAGGTGCCGAAAAAGTGATATTATCTTGTCGAAGCGCATGTTTTCCTGCTGAAAGTGGTCGATGCTTGCTTACCTCCGATTAGTAGTTGTAGTAGTTTGTGGTATTTCAACGTTTTCCTTACTTTGGTGTCTAAATTGTGTGGCTTCTCCTGCCAACAGAACTCTCCCACTTTCTGGCCAAGGCGTCGTCGCGGGGAAACAAAAAAAAAACTGCGTTTGGGGCCTTTGCCCCTACGGCTGCTGCAATTCAACACACGACACGACATTTTTATAAAGTTTTTATTACAAATAAAACGATTTTTAATTCAGAACGCACGAATTACTTCGATTTTTCACTTGAAAGTAAACAATACGTTTGCAATACGTTTGCACTTGTTTATAAACAAAAAATTTGTTTACGTATTGCCATAAACGTCAAAGTCGGCAAAACCAAAGTAGCGGTTTCGGGAATGCGCCACCTTCAGTTCATTACACTACGGCTGCGTTTCTTTATACATTCCGGATAATCCCATTTCACAGCCGGAATAAAAATAATGCGTTTGAAATTTACGTTAACATATCATCAGGAACGATCTAAAGAATAAGTAAACAAAAAAGTTTATTCCAAACGTTCAGAATGAATAAAGAAATGCAACCCATGATTACAAATGGCTGCTTCTCAACCGGTCAGATCCATAGTTACCAACTTGGTGCTTTAAGCACTATATTTAGTGCTTTTTGAAAATTAAAACGCCAAAAAAAATTATTTAGTGCCTAGTGCCTTTTTTAGTGCTTTTTTTCTGAACTAAAATTACTTCGAGATAGTGAAAACCTGAAATAATTTGAAATATTTAAGGCTGTAGCAGCACTGAATTTACAAGAATCTACAAATTTAAATGGACTAAAATACAACCATGATTGATAAAAAGCTGAAGTTGCAAACCTACCTTATTAAATTCTATTCGCGTTAAAATGGCTAGTACGCAAGTAAGTTAAAAGAAATACTTAGGGCCGATTGTTCACTGACTGGTTATCACTACTTGCCGGTTAAACATCATTATCGACGATTTCGACATCATGCATATAACATGTGATCGATAAAGCAGTCGTTGTATTTAACCGGAGCTTCTACCTCCGATTTATGCTAATCGGACATTGAACAACCGGCCCTTAATGTGGTAAAACGCTTTTTTCCAAGTTTTTGGTGCTTTTTGAAAATCAAAAGATGGCAACACTGGTCAGATCTGTTCTAATTGGTTTATGGTCTTTCGAGCACAGTATAGACAGTAACCAACCTTTTTGGGTTGTTGTTGTAGTTATATTCACCCCTGAGGAAGGCACGGGGTTGTGTGCTGCTATTTAATTGCCTTCCTCAGATTTTTTCTTAGATTTCAGGGTTGTGTGCTGCATTATTATTAGATAAATAAATTTAAGCATTTGACAAATCCTGATTTTATAAAAAGAAAATTATAAATGGTGTTGAAAAAGCAAACAAACGCTCGTGCAAAAGCTCTATTTTTGTGTGTTTTAAAATTTATACATGGCGTATTGATGGTAATACAAGCAAAGTATTCTTTTGTAAATTTTATGTTACTTGAGAATTTAGACAACGTGCGAGTTGCCAGGTTCTTTTATCAATATAATTAGCACAAGCTTTTCCGCGTGGTTGCCTTTCAATAAATAGAATAAACAAATATTCGCAAATAAATTGGATTTACTTCATAACTGACAACTAACGTACGCTTTTTGTTCTTTTCTCCATTTTGATTTTGACTGTTTATAACCGCCAACAACTTTATGTGTATACATATTTACAAGCTGTAAAAATTTTGCGTAGTCCCACGAGCTAGGTAAAAACTATGGCATTCGTATTCACAACGAGAAATCTCAAAATTTTTGTTTGGTCTTTCCAAGTTTTCTCTTTTTTATTAGTTGGCAAAGGCCCTCAGTGGCAGCGCTCCGAACGTTGAGATAGTAATTTTATGTCAATTAGTAGAAAAGTTCCATGTTGAAACAACTTTTTATTATGGCGAGAAAATTTTACATTTCTGCTGTGCCAATTCGCAACTTTTTACTGCTGGAAATATTTGACAGTTGCTCTGGTGCAAAAGTTGAGCAATTAAAATCAGAAATTATACAAAAAATACTTGTCTTTACTGACTTTTATTCTTCTAGAACTAAAAGCCATGCATTTATTAGACGCTTTAGTAATGAAATTAGAACAAAAAAATTCTTCAAAGTCGTCAGGCCGGGTAGAAAATTTCCATTCACCTCATAGTTAACAAAAATTTACAATCCGTAGTACTTTTCTATCAATTCGCAAATGCCGTTTGCACAAAAAAGGTTATAAAATGCGTTTTATTTAAATCGTTTAGAAAATGAGTCATTTATGTATACCATTGGGTACTGTTTAGTAAGTGGCCCACCTATTTCGGGGTATTGCGTCCAAAGGGGTGACCCGATCCAAAAAAAAATTGCACACACTTGTAGCCAAGGGTCTACCCATTATTTTAACATCCACTATTGTAATTTTGGGTCACTAATTTATTAACAAATTGGGTTTGAAATATGCCCTTTTTTGTAAAATTCGGAAATTAGCGTAAATTTATCACTCCTATTCTCCTTAAAGCAGCTACATCAGCAATATATTTTTATATTCTCCTTCACTTTACGCTTTACTCGATGAGCTATAACTTTCTTTATAACTTTAATATTAACCAATTAATCACAATTTATTAAATAAAAACACCTTCTAAATCATGCGTCTGACTTTTGTTGCATATGCAAATTAAATGGCGTAGTTCAGCTGTCAAACTCCAAAATATGCAAAAGAATGAGAGACAAAAGAAAATAGGATATAACCCTGCAAGCATTAAAAATATACAAAGGTGTTCTCTGTAAAAGGTATTCAGCTCCTTTTCTTCGCAAAACAGAAATGAGAATTCTACTGCCTGAGGGTTATAATCCCTAAGTGCGGCCGAAGGCCGCCTACGTAGAAAGGTGTTCTCTGCAAAAGGTGTTCAGCCCCCCTTCTTTGGCAACACAGAAAGGAGAATTCTACTGCCTGAGGGTTATAATCCCTAAGTGCGGCCGAAGGCCGCCTACGCACAAAGGTGTTCTCTGCGAAAGGTGTTTAGCCCTCCTTTTTTCGCCTGATAACCACCTTGGGATAACTTCTTTTATTTAAAAACCCCACATATTCTGTTAGTTGGGTTATATTCCACTTCAAACTGCTCAGTTTGCCTCGGAAAATGCCTTTTTTACCCCATTTTCAAACGGTTCCCTAGGGGTCTGTGGGAGGTCCCCAAGGGGGGTGGGGCTTTTCGTAAAGTGGCGACTGGCCCCTTTCGAATGAGGGGGGTTTGGGGGGCCACGCCCTCTCCCCCTCCGCCCCCCACCCCAAAGACGATGGGCCAATAACTAAACATTTCCCATACCATTTTATGTGGAATTATTCAATAAATTTCGTTTTGCACTATACTTTTTGAAATTATTTGGAGTTAATTATTTTCCTTCTTAAAAGCAACCCTGCGGGCTTGGAAGGCGTGTGTACCAATAATTTCATCTCTAGCATATTCATCCCCGAGGAAGGCAGTCGCCAAATTCACCGACGGTTGTTTACTGGTTATATTGTGCTTTCGAGTTACAGCCGTACCTAAATTAGCGCGTAGAGCGTTTCGCTTGTATCTTTATCTCTCTCTGAAGCATTAAATTTATATATGCTAGAAGAAGAGAGGCCGACAGGCCCAACGCCTGGCGCGCTTATTTAGGTATGGCTCTTAGGCGTTGTACCCGTTACATGCGGTTTGCTACAGCTCTAGTATCAAATGCCAAAAGTATCGATATGGTATCGTATCATATCGAATTTAGTATCAGCACAAAGCGCGGTTTGCATCAAAACGTTCATTTCATTTAAATATTGTTATTGTAATTAAAAATCCTCATAATAAGAAAGTAATTAGTTATGAATAGCAAAGGATCGTCGGTTCGCTCCCGTGCAAATGATACTGATAATGGCGTGTTAACACCAGTTTTAAAAAGCCGCGCCAGGCTGACTCCTAGTAACTTGAGACATAGAATTGTATACAAACAAGATTCTGCACCCAAAAATCTAAATTCTGTTGAAAAAAAAGGGGGTCGAGTTAACGAAAATAAGCAATCAACTTCAAGGTCACATATTACAGAAAATTCTACAAACACACCGCGAGTCACTCCGCGCTCAACTGCCCTAAATGCATGTTATACTCCATCGTCCCTATTTCGAAATGGAGCGTCAACTCCTTTGAGTATATTGCGCACGCAACAGTCAACTCCATCCACAAACAAAAAATCTAAGCAAAACTATGAAACAGTATCTCAACAAATTGGTACTGCAGACACGGAGATTAGTAATCTTACTGTGGTAGTAAGAGTTCGGCCATTGAATGCCCAAGAGTGCTCGTTGGTCAAAGTTTCAAATGTAGTACGCGTTTGTGGAAATAAGTTGACGGTTTCGGCGGGTATGAATGCGGATTATACGGCAGGTCTTACCCATTCCTTCACCTATGATCATGTTTTCGACTCTACTGACCCAGATAATAGCAAGTACGCAAACCAAGAAGGTGTGTTTGCAGGCACAGCTATGCCATTAATAGAGCGAGCTTTTCAAGGTTACAATGCTTGTCTTTTTGCATATGGTCAGACGGGATCTGGAAAATCTTACAGTATGATGGGCATCGAAGCTTTAGACGACGATGCTTCTGGAAATAGTGCACCTCATCCCGAAGCGGGGATAATTCCGCGATTTTGTCGAGAGCTTTTTAAACGCATTGATAAAATTAAACATATAATACGTGCTGAAATCGAAATTAGTTACTTTGAAATATATAATGAAAAAATCCATGATTTACTTTGTGTGACACAAAGCGAAGGCAATTGCAGCATTGGCAATATACATATAGCTAGCACTCAGGCGAATACAATTGGCAATAGTCGACCTGCTTTAAAAGTGCGTGAACATCCAATTTGGGGTCCGTATGTGGTGGATCTAAGCGTCCATCCTGTAGATTCATACGAAGCTATGCGAAATTGGCTTGCAGTAGGAAATTCGCAACGTGCAACGGCTGCCACCGGCATGAATGATAAGAGTTCGCGATCGCATTCAATATTCAATATTGTTCTGAATCTGACTGAAGTTTCGGATGACAAAGATGGAAATGGAACTTTGTCAGAATTGGCTATCTCGCCTAGGACCCATCAAACACGACGAAGCAGGATAAGTTTGGTCGATTTGGCAGGAAGTGAACGTATTTTGTCAGGCGGCACGAATGGAGATCGCATACGTGAAGGTGTTAGTATAAATAAAAGTCTTTTAACTTTAGGCAAAGTAATTGCTGCCTTAGCGGATGCAAAGAAAACTTCAACAGGCGGAGCAGCTTTTGTACCTTACAGAGATAGTGTACTGACGTGGCTACTAAGGGTAAGATTAATTAAATTGATAATGGAGTTTTCTAATAAGCATATCATTTCTACAAGAAAGCAATTATACTAGCTACATGCTACAAATGCATTTATAAATTCGGTTATTTATTATGCTGTAATTAAAAAAATAACCTTTGATTAAAAGCATATAAAAAGGGCAGTGTCTACACACACGCGCCACGGTAACTTGGATCTACGGTAAAATTACGTGGTACGGTAAAAGTTACCGTGGCGCGTGTAAGTAGATATACATATATAAAAAGTTCAAAGCGCGCGCTCAACGAAATTTTTTTACTTTTTTTATGGTAGAGTTGAGTTAGGACCATAAGGTCAACGTAACCAGAAATCCTCAATGTTGTAGTGTTTTCTTGTGTTGTATTATTTGTGCAGTTGCTTTGTAGCCAACTTGAGACTTTATAAAAGTCGTTTGCAGACTGCCACAAAAAAAGGCAAAAAATAATGGCTACTTACAAGGCTGCAATGAGCAAGTCCAAACAAAAAAGCAAAAACAAAAAAGAAATAAAAATAAAACTGCTATAAATGGACTAAATAGAAAATATCTTTTTTTTTACAACCGCAGACAGTTTATTAGATTTAGAATGAATTGATTAAATCGATCCATTAAAATCGATTTCAAATTTGGTTTCCATGCAGTGTTACCACGAACAAATTTTTTTTCCTACAAAAATTGCCTACCAAGACCAACCAAAACCTACCAAAAATTTTCCAATGCCAAGTTTATTAAAAATGTAGATAGCATAACATGTAGTAAAACTAAAACACGGCTGACAAAAAAAAAACAAATTAACTACGTACAACAACTAATTTTACTGTACAGACACACAAATGTTTGTCTCTTTACACCAGGGATTGGCAAAGGGTGCTGTTTTTGTGACTTCAAGCCTACTCACGTTAAAAACGACGTGTGTCAAGTTAGCACTACACTTTTCGAATTTGGAAAAGTTAACTACGGCATTAATTGTAGTGTTTTTGTTGTAAATTTGTTGTGGAAAGAAAAAATTTGTAGCTCTCGTTTTTTAAGAAAAAATGGTATGTAGTGCTAACTTGACACTATACACCTAGTCGATAGAATTGAGATATCCAATATGTTACTATGCCATTAATTGTAGCTTTTAACTTTAAAATTTGTTGTGAAAAGAAAAAATTTGTAGCGCTCGTTTTTTAAGAAAAAATGGTATGTAGTGCTAACTTGACACTATACACCTAGTCGATAGAATTGAGATATCCAATATGTTACTATGCCATTAATTGTAGCTTTTTTGTTGTAAATTTGTTGTGGAATGAAAAAATTGGTAGCTCTCGTTTTTAAGAAAAAATTGTATGTAGTGCTAACTTGACACCATGTACCATTGTCGACAGAATTGACACATGACAACATGGTGTGATAGCTATTGACATTGCCGTTGAAAGCATCGCTTGGGTATTGAGCTAGAACTGGTACTGTCGGCAAAAGGTCTAGTTCTAGGCTAGTCAGATTTG